AGTTCCAGCGTAAACATAGAAAAACGAAAGGAAAAGCCAAACCAAGGCTCCTCTTTCGTGCACAGTATCAGTGGGTTCAGCGTTACGGTACAAGCCAAGTGGATAGTACCAACAGAAGAAGGATAAGGTACCAACGGCAAAGTTGAAAGGTATTTCTCCTGTGATTTGAGCACCAATGAAGGCAATCCAACTGTATGTTCTAGATGGAGACTCTCTAACTTCGTATAAAGATCTCGCACTGACGAAGAATGGCAACAACTGTTGGATAATGGTGTTCAAAGGAATGAGCGACATGAAAATAGCAAACATTTGATTCTGCAAACCTTGCTCAGAAGTATCAGCCTTGAAGAAAGAAAACCCGTTGAAAAGAGACGATGAAACAACCAAAAAGATCTTGGAGTAGATGTACCATGGGTTTCTCCAATGTTGTTGAAGAACTCTCTGGGACACAATTAAGTATTGGGTGAGGTATCCAGCAGCATATGTCTTGTGAGAATCTGCACTTTCATCCTTTGGTAATTTGACCAATTCCGTTTCCATGTATTCCAATTCCTTTCTAACTTCGGCATACTCAGTTGAGTTTCTCCAAACATCAAAGTAATCTTGTTTAGCATGAGAACCAGGGGCAGCACCGACAACGTGTAACATCCATTCAGCTGGGTTGGCTTCGGGAGGACAAGGATCAGCACCATACTTTTCAAAGTAGTTGGTTAAAGTAGAACAGTTTTCACCCAAGCCACCAAAATAGACAGTTTGACCACCCTTTTGTAAGAATAACAATCTGTCGAATTCTTGTAACAAAATGGCTGAAGGCTGGTGAATGGTACACAAGATAGCTTGGCCATGATCAGCCAACTTTCTCATCAACTTACAAACAGACCAGGCAGTTTGAGAATCCAAACCAGAAGTTGGTTCATCCAAGAACAACAATAATTTTGGTTTAGCAGCCAATTCAACACCAATAGTCAATCTCTTTCTTTGTTCAACATTCAATCCTTCACCAGCAACACCAACCAAAGCATCAGCGTAAGGTGTCATTTCCAACAAATCAATACAGTATTCAACATATTCATCCTTTTCTTTTCTTAGAAACGTGAGCTGGTTGTCTCAAGTAAGCCGAAAATCTCAAGGCACCTCTAACAGTAGAGGTTTCCAAATGCAAATCTTGTTGTTGAGCGTAACCAATAGATCTTTGAAAAGAAGAGTCCAAGGCATGACCGTTGACCATTCTGGAACCATCAGTGATAACACCGGATGTAAGTCTTTCTGACAAACAGTTCAAAAGTGTAGTCTTACCAGCACCAGAAGAACCCATTAAGGCCGTCAATTGACCAGGTTTAACCCAACCATCAATGTGGTTCAACAACACTCTATCTTCTGTCTTAATCTTCACCTGGTAGGTCAAGTCTTTCCAATGGAAGATGTTTTCGTTCTTGACCAATTTCTTCTCAATGTCAGTTTCTTCGCTAATTTCACCAGCAATTTCATCTTGTAATCCCAACTTTTCTTCTGAGTTCAAGTTATTTTCAAGATCCTGTCCCTTAGAGGCAGCGGCAGCAGCTCTGGCCTTCTTGTGTTTCTTTAAGTCACCTTGTAAGAACAAAACAATTTCACCCTTTTGCATGGCACCCTTGTTAAGTTCAGTTAACAAGATGTAGAGACCCAAGAAGAAAATGATGAAGCCAACGGTAATACCAAAGTTTCTCCATTTATGAGAGTTGTAGTATTCATAGGACGCAGACAAATAGTTAGTACCGTTAACGAAATTTTGACCAGCAATAGAACCGGTGGTAGAACAAACTCGGTTACTACTACCGATATTGGAGTAATCAGGTCCATTTGGAATGAACTTGGTCTTATAACATTTGAAGATTCTTTCGGAAAACTCATTATCCATTAAGGACTCAAACACATAAGCCACTGGATTAATGTAGTTGATCCACCTGGACCATCCCAACATTTTTGGAGTAGGAATAACAAAACCAGTGAAAATAATCATGGCCAACAACAAGACACTGGCTGGAGTCATAGCACCAGGCAAGGAAGTAGAAACAGCACCAATGGATCTAAAGATGTGGGACATCACCAAGGTGCACAGAAAACCCATTAGCCAGTAGAAGAAAAATCTTCCGGCATCTCTCCTCAAGTTCACCATGAAGTAGAAGGTGACGTTGAAAGACATCGACATCAAAAATTTGGTGGGAAGTTCAGTGATTATAGATGCAAGTGCATCAGCAGCAGGCCTATACAATGCATATTGTTTATGTTTTTCAACAATGGGTCTGGCTTCGAACAAAGCCATGATCTCCAACAACGATGAGAAGGCATTAAACAACACAGCAAAGAAAATAGAAGCACCTCTGTAGTAGAAAGAATCAGTTTCCTGACTCAAGTTGTAGAAAACAGACGACAAAATCAACCCCATAACAGCTTGCATGAAAATAGAGAAAATCGAAATGGAAGGATCACCCTTAAGTCTCAAGATATTTCTTTGCATAACGTACTTGGTCTGCATAGCAAATGAAACAGTATAAGATGAACCGGCTGGCACTCTCTTGGCCTGTTTAGCGACATGGGCCTCATGGAAAAGCTGCTTGTGGTTTTCCTTCTCACTAGTTTCCATATACTCTTCAATTTCGGCAATTAAGTTGGCATATTCAGGAGAATTCTTCCAGTAAGTTTCAAAGTCCTTGGAGGTCCTGGGGACTCTGTCCTCGAAACCAGGCTTGATGATTCTTTCAGCTGGGTTGGTGATGGAAGTCAAGAAATCAGCAGTAGTTTGTCTTTGAGGACAGATGTAACCCATGTCCTCGAAAAACTTTCTGGCGACTTTACCTTTACCATAGAAAATCTGGTAACCTTCGTACAATACACAAACATTGTCAAACAAATCGTAAGCATCTTGAGAACATTGGTAAATAGCAATCAAAGGTGTGGCATCCAAGATTGTAGCAGAGGTCTTCAAGGCTCTGATAAACTCCAAGGCCGTAGCTGCATCCAAACCTCTGGTAGCGTTATCCCAACACTGAATGTTGGCACCGGATAAAGAGGCCTCAGCAATCGACACTCTCTTTCTCTCACCACCAGAAACACCTCTCACGTAGTCGTTACCGACACGAGTAAACCGGGTATGTGACAATCCATAGGTGGCCATGTAGACGGCAGCCATATGTTTGGCATAGTCTTCTCTCAGGACCAGACCTCTGTTCTGAGGAGTTCTCATTCTAGCAGCGAACTCCAAAGTATCACCCACCAACAAGTTGGCGAAGTGGACATCAGTTTCGGCGGAGAAAATCACATCACCTCTGTGGTGCTTCTTGATATCATTCGGAGTCATACCATTGTAGGAGATACGAGACTCAGGACTCACTTTGAACCCGTAGTCATGAGCGGCAATGGTCTTCAAAAGAGTGGAACACCCAGAACCCGGTCTTCCCAACACGACCGTAACCTCACCCGGTTTCATGATAGCATCCATAGGTTTCAAAATATCAAAGTAACGAGATTCATCGGGTTTTCTGACCATGTTGTACAACTCGTAACTGAGTTTCCACAAAAAGTTGGTCACCGTAGGCTGGTAGTCACTATCGGTAGCAATACCACGGGCACGCAAGTCCCTGTACGCAATTCCCAAGCTGGAGTGCTTATAGTAATCTGGGTCACTATCCAACAACTTTCTCAAGTTCTTGACCCAAAATTTGGCATTGAACTCATCGCTGTTAGGGTCCAATTGCGGGTCCACACCATCGAATGGTGCTACTCCAGGCACTTGCGACATGTGCGATAAATATCTGATCAAGTCCTGGGATGACTCAGCAAAAGAAGCATTTTGACTTTGGTTGGTGAGGGTCCTGGCAAGAGTACGAATGTGTTCGGAGGCGTTATCATTGAACCCTTGGTATTC